GAATAGAACAGATTCCAGATCTAGGTATAGATGGCATGATAAAAATAGCGTTTCACGTTAGTGGGGAAAATGGAATAGTCAGTAAATGGTGTTAGAAAAGTTTCTTATTTGGAAAAAAAAAAAGCTTAAATCCTTACCCACATAATCTGAAAGGACATATTCCAGATATTAAAAACAATCAAATGGCAAAAATCAATTAACCATTCAGTCAGGGAAATTAGTGGGAATATAGTGTGATGGTTAAGGGCACACACAGGCTCTGGAATAAAAATCACTGGCTTTGGGGCCTGACGCTGCCTCTTACCAGCTGTGTGACCTTGGACAAATTACTTAAGCTCTCTGTGCATTTATTTCCTCCTCTGTAAAATAAAAAGTTTAATAACATCAACCTTATAGCCTGTGGAGTATAGTTCAGTGCTGGTATGGGGTAAGCCCTGGATAAGAGCTTCTCATTCTATAGTCAGTGACAACAATGAGGTCAGTCCACAAAAACAGACATGGAAAGGTGTCTTCTGTACATTAGGCAAAAAAACCAACTTGCAGATCAATATGTGTAACACCCAATTAAGTGGAAAGGCAAAATAAAGCAAAACAGAAAGCCTGAATATATGTATAGATATATGTAAAGAAAAATCTGGAAGAGCACACATCAAGTGTGAATAGTGGAGTTACTTCTCATGGACTAGAGTTGGGTTATCACTTTTTAAATTACATACTTCTATGTATTAATTTTATTTTTTGCAAAAGACATGTATAATTTTTAAATAAATAAAAACATGAATAACAAAAGCAGTGCTATAGCATTAAAATTAAGCCGAGTAGTCAGAGATGTTAAAAATTTGTTTTTTTCACTTTTTATGTTTGTGACCTAAAGTTCAAAGTATGTTATACAGTATATTCATTGCAGGTATACAACATAATGATTAGACATTTATCTTACGAAGTGATTCCCTGCCCTGGATAAGTCTAATACCCATCCAACACCATCCATAGTTATTGAAATATTATTGACTGTGTTCCCTGTGTTGTACTTTAAATCCCCGTGACTTTTTATAACTGGCAATTTGAACTTAATCCCTTACATCTTTTTTCGCCCATATCTGAATACTGAACTCGTATTAGTGTTGGTCATTCTGGGCCATACCTTATAGGGTTTTTCCTTGATATTTATTTTCACTGTGGTAAAAAAATACATAACATTAGATCTTAACTGTTTTTAAGTGTACAGTTCAGTAGTGTTAAGATCACTAGAACGTTTTTTCTTACAAAACTGAAAATCTATATCCATTAAACACTAATTCCCCCTTCTCCCTCCCACTCATACCTAATGTGTTAAATATAATTTTGGAGATCTGTGTATGATGTGTCTTCCTTTTTTTCCAGCTTTACTGAGATCTAATTGACATATACACTGTGTAAATTTGAGGTGTACAGGCTGATGATTTGATATCCGTATATCTTGCAAAATGATCACCACAAGGTGTGTCTTCTTACAGCCCTTGAAGAATCCTGAATATGAGTTTTGGTTAAGAAATTATGGCTAATAATGGAAAACTGCACTTTACCCATCATATATGTCTTTTCCTATTAGCAAGTAGGCAAAGAAGGATCTTAGGGGAGTTCTTTTTGCCATTTCTGATTTTAGAGCCCAGTTCACGCTAAGATGTAAGAATGTGCACAAGTTCCCCAAGAGGCATTTTTCTTGGGGGCTGTTAGCGTGTTTGGTGTCCGTGTCTGCTGATGTGGTAGCCAGGCGACACTCAGCCGCTTTGTCCCTCCAGACAGCTGTACCCACACTGCAGATGGCAGATTTGCTCTCTGTCACTCATCTAATTGGGGCAACTTACTGGGGGGGAGGTCCATTTCCAAAAAAGGAAAAAGCAAAATTTTGGTTAAGTTTATTTTTCCTTTTAACTAATGAGTGCACCAAGGGAGATCAGCTTTACAAAGGAACCTGGCATTGACCCTTCCACTGAAATGAAAAATCCTTTTCTCACCTGTGAATATTGATCCGAATTTTAGGTCTTTGTATATTTGTGCTCTTGATTTTTTTTTTTT